CTCGAACGGGTCGACGTCGAACGGCGTGCCGAAGCCGTACTGCGACTGCCCCAGGCCCTGGGGCGCGGGCAGGCGCAGCCCGTCGACACGCGTGGCTCGGGGGGCGCGACGGATCGGGACACAGAAGCGTAGACTACTAATACCCTCGTCAAAATTAACCTCAACAGTTGCTGGCACGTCATTTCGATTTCGGCGCGCCCCTCAATGTCGACACGCCGCCCCTTCAATGTCGGGGCGAGGGCAAAGATAGTCTGACCGAAGTTGACTCAGAAGTTTGACGTCGACCGACATTGGAGGGGCGGCGCATGCAAGTAACCCGCACTCATCGATACTCGGCCCCAGATCTTCCGACAAGCAGTTCCGACACGTCAGACATTTTTGAGGTTCATTGTGACGAGGGTTGTAATACAGGCCTCGGAAAAAAATAGAGAACACTCATGCCACATTCATCTGTGCCTCCCCCTCCCCCCAATGTTCAAAGTTGGCGGTGGGTCTGATGAGTTGCACCTCGACCGTAGTCTCCCCCCGCGCGTGCCAACCTTGAGTTTGGGGGGCAGGGGGGGACTAACTGTTTCCCTCTACCGTACGTATTGGGGGCAACAGAAGCTGCCAGCAGTCGGCAAGCACAAAGTTCTCGGAGCATGCAGCAGATCCACATCCCAAAACCCGCGCTCCACCCGACAGCTCCCACCGAGTTCGTCCTGAACAGGGGTAACACCTTTGGCGCTACCCCGATCGGAGGCCCCAACACGGGCCTGCTGGTCTGGAGGCCCTCAAGACAGACCCAACCACGTTCCACGAGGCACAGTTAACCCGAAAGCGCCCACCACGTTCGTCCCGAACGGACACATGATCTGCCACCGTGCCTGCAGCACGTAGTGCAGTGCCCCAAGGCTCATACAGCTCTGAAAATCTAGAACACAAAAATTTCAAAGGCTTTAGGGGCCCAGGCCACCAGTTTGACAAGGATCTCTGGGATTTCCGGGGATTCGCTGGGATTTCCAGTCCCCAGGATTTCTGGGGATTCCCCGGGATTTCCAGGAGTTCCCTGGGATTCCCCGAGCGTGTCGCACGCGTCCTCTGGTAGCGCAGCCGGCCAAACATGGCCCAAAAAGCACCCAAGAGAGCCGAAGATGCCTCCAAGAAGGCCCAAGAGTGCCTCAATACGCCCAAGATGGCCTCAACACGGCCCAAGAGGCCCCGAAGACGTCGCCAGAGTGTTCGAAGAGGCATCCCAAGAGGGCCCCAAGAGGCACAAATCTTTGATCTTCCGCAGGATTTCGAAGGGTGTTGGCCTTCTCGCCTTTTCGACTTTCCGACGCTCAAAAACGGCCCACGAGGCCCCCGAAGACGCTCCCAGACGCCGCAAGAGGCTCTCAAGAGGCCCCAAAGAGGCTCCCAAGAGGCCCCAAACCTGCTCCCAAGAGGCCCCCGAGAGCGTCCCGAAGAAGCGTCGCTGCAAAGTCTGACTCACAACCCAGGCACGGTGGCGGTATGGGCCGAAGGCTACTAGATCACAATTGATCTGCCCCCTCGTGGGAGCCTGATGAATGAGAGTGAGAGCATGCGCGAGCAAGCGTGAGCGTGAACGTGGGTGCGGTCGTGTGAGACGGAATGTGAGTGAGCCGGGGCGTGTGGTGCGAGCTTGAGTGAGTGTGGGTGTCAGCGATAGCGAGACTGTGAGTGAGAGCTATCACGAGAGTAAGACAACTGCAAGAGCGAAACGCCGAGGGCGAGAAAGGAGGCGAGGGCGAGGCAGGAGGTGCGCCCACGATCATGACAGCAAGAAAACAACACACTGGACACGAGGGGACACGAACGCCAAAAAAAGAAGAATAACAAACCATGAAAAAGACATCTGCGAAAATGCATACGACAAAGGGGGGATGAACGAAGCAGGGAGGATGGATAACGGTCGCGGCGACGAAAGCCGGCGAGCCCAGGCAGGACTGGCCGTGGGGCCGAAAACTGCTGCGGGGCGATCAGCGGCCACGGGCGCGGAGGAGGAGGAGGAGGAGGAGGAGGAGGAGGAGGAGGAGAAAAGGAGGACGAGGGAGGAGGAGGAGGAGGAGGAGGAGGGAGGAGGAGGAGGAGGAGGAGGAGGAGGAGAGGAGAGGAGGAGGAGGAGGAGGAGGAGGAGGAGGAGGAGGAGGGAGGAGGAGGAGGAGGGAGGAGGAGGGAGGAGGAGGAGGAGGAGGAGGAGGTGGAGGTGGAGGAGGAGGAGGAGGACGAGAAGGAGGAGGGAGGAGGGAGGGAGGGAGGGAGGAGGGAGGAGAAGGGAGGAGGAGAGGAGGAGGAGGAGGAGGGAGGAGGAGGAGACCCGCGGCGAGGCCCCGACCCCCCCCGTGCGCGCGAGGGGGCGTGCCGGCGGCAGGGACGTGGGCGCGGCCGACGGGGCGAGGTACGCCGCCTGGCGTGGCGTCCTCCTCCTCCTCCGCCCTCCTCCGCCTCCTCCTCCGCCTCCTCCTCCTCATCATCATCATCATCAGCAGCATCAGCATCAGCATCAGCATCAGCATCAGCATCAGCATCAGCATCAGCATTATTATCATCATCATCATCATCATCATCATCATCATCATCATCATCATCACCACCACCACCACCACCATCATCATCATCATCATCATCATCAGCAGCAGCAGCAGCAGCAGCAGCGGCAGCATCATCAGCATCATCAGCATCAGAATCTGAGCATCATCAGCATCATCATCACCATCACCACCATAACCACCACCACCACCACCACCATCATCATCATCATCATCATCATCATCATCCTCATCATCATCGTTATCATCATCATCATCATCATCATCATCATCATCATCATCATCATCATCATCATCCTCATCCTCATCCTCATCCTCATCCTCATCGTCATTCTCATCATCATCAACAACAACAGCCTCATCATCATCATCCTCAGCAGCATCATCAGCATCAGCATCATCATCAGCAGCGGCATCATCATCATCGACATCGACATCATCATCATCATCATCATCATCATCATCATCATCATCATCATCATCATCATCATCATCATCATCATCATCATCAACATCCCTCCTCCTCCTCCCTCCTCCTCCCTCCTCGTCCTCCTCCTCCTCCTCCTCCTCCTCCTGCCCCTCCGCCGCCTGGCACGACACTCGCCGCCCACGAGGGGCACCGTTAGCGCAAAGGGTTCCCGACCACAAGAAACCTCCCGCAAGAAACCCAACCCGGAGACCCCGGGGCGTCCCAAACAGACAGCGCCCGCGGAGACTCCGACAGCGATTCCTATCCAAAATGCGCAAGGACTGCTGCTCTGGTCTTCGTCTCCTTCTGTCCTTCCCCACTGCGATCGGACCGATCGGCCCGCCCCCAGCTTTGTTCGGCAAGCAGGCAACCCGTTCAGGAGACGCTGCGACATACACCAGGGGCTCGGGCACAAGAAACCTTCCACAAGAAACCCCACACTGAGCCCCCAGGACGTCTATTGAGTTGTGGTGTGGGAACGTCACGCTTCTTCCACAGCAGAACCATCGAAACCCGAGAAACCGAGGGCACCCCGAAGGCGAGCCGGGTGTTTCTTGGCATGGGTCTCCACTGTAGGCGGCGCGCCCAGGGGGGGGAAGTGAGAAGGGGCGGGGGGACATAAGACTCGGGTTCGGAGGACGCGAGTTCGCCTGACGGGGCCATCATGACAATGACGAGACCCAAGCTGAGATTTGACGCGAGCTCCCGCTGCAAGCATCCCACGAAAACTGAACCTCGAAATCCAGGACGCGCTCGTCGCAAAACGTCGGCAAACCCGAGTCCTGGCGTACTCGAGTCGTACGTTTCCCTGAAAAAGGCGGGCCTTCTCAGAAGGCTCGAAGTCCCCCCGCCTTCTGAGAAGTTTTCTGAGCCTTCACCGAAGACGCAGAAAACATCTCGGAAGGCGCGGGAGCTTCTGAGAAGTCCCGCCGACTTCTGAGAAGGCCTTCTCCTTCGCACTTCCGCCCCCTCGTTCGCCGCCGAGTTAAGGGGGGGCCTGGCTCAAGGAGAAAACACCGACCTTGCATCGGGGGTACATCGCCGATGGATCGGCGCCGGGCTATCGATTAGCGACTTCCCAAGTGGGCGCCGAGAAGGAAGGGGTCTTGCGCATGATGGCATAGCGTCCATGCGCGGTGGCTCACGCGGGCCGCCAGCGCGGCACGCTGCAGTGGAAGCGAGGGCGCTCACGCGCGAGCTCACGCGGGCAGCTTACGCGCGAATGTCCGCGCAAAGGGACCCATTCACTTCTGTCGCTCACGTGCCTGGACGGGGTGGGCTACCAGGCCCCCATCGGCGATGCATGGACGATTGGGGGTCGATGCCCGACTGAATCCCAGGGCCTGTACTTTTTGGGAGGCCGTGGTGCGCTTCGTGGGCGAAGAGCGGTGCGGCAGGCTCGTATCGTGCTTGCCGCGGCGTTGTATCAAGACGCAACCAGGACCCCTCCTCCTCCTCCTCCTCCTCCTCCTCCTCCTCCTCCTCCTCCTCCTCCTCCTCCTCCTCCACCTCCTCCTGACTCCTCCCTCCTCCCCCTCTCCTGGGGAACGGGGAAGAATGACGGATAACCAGGGGGGCAAGAGATGGTGAAGGAGGGGATGGAGGATTAGGGATGAGCGCGGGTGGGGAGCACGCGCGACGCGATAAGGAACAGCAGCAGGGTAAGGACAGATTGCTCGGCTGATTTCATCGCAGGAAGAGCGACGTTCATTATTAATGTAAGGCTCTATGCACACCTAACAAGAGGCCTCTCAAGAGGGCCCCACGAAGCACAAATCAACGATTTCCCAAACGTTTTTGAAGGTTTTTAGCCTTCTCGCCTTTGCGGCTTTCCGACGCTCCGAGACCGACCAAGAGTTCCCAAGATCGCCCCACGACGGCCGTAGAAGCTCCCATGACGACCCAAAAGGCCCCCAAGACGGCCCCAAGACGGCCGAAGAGTGCCCCAAGACGGTCCAAGAGGCGCCCCAGACGGTCCAAAAGGGCCCTAAGACGGTCCCAAGAGAGGCCCAAGAGGGAGTGGGAGTCCATGAACAGAAAACTCGAGGCCCCGAGAGGGCCCCACGAGGCCCCAAGAGGCCCCTAAGAGGCCCCCAGGAGACTCCCAAAAGACCCAAAATATGCCCCAAGAGACTCCAAAACGGCTGCCAAGAAGCTCCAACAATGACCCGCAGACGCTGCCGATAAGCCTGCCACGAGAGGCACCCAAGGCGCTATCCACGCAGCCGCACGCACTAGCAACAGGGGGGCTTCCGCCTCCTCCTCCCCCTCCTGCTCCTCCTCCCGCTCCCCCCCCTCCTCCTCCTCCTCCTCCTCCTCCTCCTCCTCCTCCTCCTCCTCCTCCTCCTCCTCCTCCTCCTCCTCCTCCTCCTCCTCTCCTCCTCCTCCTCCTCCTCCCCTCCTCCTCCTCCTCCTCCTCCCTCCTCCCCTCCTCCTCCTCCTCCGTCCTCCTCCTCCTCCTCCTCCTCCGTCACCCACGACGCTACCCGCGCAGCCACCCGCACTAGTAACAGGGGGCCGGCGGCAGATGGCGAAGCTCTTAAGATATTATATCTATATACATACATACTAGAACGACGCGCGCGCGCTTCGCTCGCGCTTAGGTTCTAGTAGGCATCGACCCTGGGCAAATTCACAGCTGCGTGCATGCACGAATGTTGTTCACAGCGCCTTGACAAGTTCACAAATGTGGTGCTGTCTCCTACATGGTGCGAGCCGTTTGCCGTTTAATGCGCTCTCGCCGCCCTCGTTGTCACTGCAATGGCCGCTGTCGCCACCGTCGCCGTAGCCGTCGTCGTCGTCGTCGACGGCATCAACATTGAAAGTGTTTGGAGGCTTCCCCAGATTTGACGCGTTTGCTTTGTCAACTCCTCACTCCCCGTCCTCCTCCAGAATGCATTGAACAGCATGTATAATTTCGTTCGTTTCTCGCTTCTTGTCGCTCCAGTGCTCGTAGCGCGCGTTTCGCGCGCGCTAAGGTTCTAGCACGCCCCAGCCCGTGGCCAGCTCACAGCTGCACTTACCACACTTGCCTTGAACATTAGCCCAAGAAATGCAAGGCCGCGGATCCAACAGAGACGAATCAACGACACGGGTACACCCGACAAATATAAACGAAGCTATGCAAAAACGGGTGCCCTTTGGGGGCACCTTTCGCGGACGCCGCGAAAGCCTCTTGAGCTATCCAAGCTATTTCTTGGGCCGTGTTGGGACTCCCCCAAGCCGTCTTGAAGTCTCTTCTGAGCCACTGGGAAGCTCTGGGGACTTCCGCAAGAGCATTGTGGGTCGTCTTCGTGGGACTCATGTGGGGCATCTCTGGATCTTCTGGGGGAGCTCTTCGGGGCATCTTGGAGGCCTATTTGTTGTCTACTGGTGGTCCCTTCGGGCCGCTGTTGGGGCCTCTCGAGTTCTCCTGGGGGCCTCGTTGGCTGTCCCAGAGCGTACGTCTTGGAAAAATGGAGACGTCGTGAAAAGTCACGACTGGAGCCGTGGACCCCATCTGTCTGCATCATCTTTCGAGCCCGATCCATCTGTCAAGGTCCTGGGGGGCCCGAAATGGAGCGAAAACGCCAGTGGTGAAAGAGGTGTACCGCCAGGATCTCAGGGCTCCTCCTCCTCCTCCTCCTCCTCCTCCTCCTCCTCAGCCCTCCCCCTCTCGACCCCCCCCCCCTGGCAGCAGGAGCGGTGGGGAGGCGCCCCTCCGAGGGGCCGCACCCCCGAACGTGTGGATGTCTCCGGGCGGGGGGGGGGGCGGGGCGCCGGAGGCCTTCCCGCCGCACGCCGAGAAGCACTCGCTGGTGTCCGGCGGCGTCGACTGCCTGGCCAGCCCCCGGCCCAGGGCTCGTCGAGCTCTGCCTACAACCCTCGTCAAAATCAACCTCAAAAATGTCTGACGTGGTTGAACTGCTTGTCGGAAGATCTGTGGCCGAGTATCAATGAGTGCGGGGTACTTGCATGCGCCGCCCCTCCAATGTCGGTCGACGTCAAACTTTCGAGTCAACTTCGGTCAGACTATCTTTGCCCTCGCCCCGACATTGAAGGGGCGGCGTGTCGACATTGAGGGGCGCGCCGAAAACGAAATGACGTGCCAGCAACTGTTGAGGTTAATTTTGACGAGGGTAGTAGGTCGGGCATGTCCTCCTACAGGCGGATGTGGGACGAAGAATGAAAGTATCAGTCAGCGTTGACTCCAAATAGATGAGACGACTCGAATCAAGGAATCAGAAAAATCAAGCATGCTTGGAATCCGCAGCTCAGCAAGCAAGCAAGCGTGCAAGCAAGCGCGCAAGCAAGCAAGCAAGCAAGTAAGTAAGCAGGCATAGGAGTTAGGGGGGAGGCATAGGCATGGGCATAGGCATAGCCATAGGAATTACGGGGTGGGGGCATAGGATTTAGGGGGGGGCAATGGACCAATTAGTAGGGTTTGAGCTAGGACTCCTATAGGACAAGCCTATTTGGATAAAATAATCCAAACGGTCGAAAATAGTAGAAAGATCGCCCCAAAACTATCTTTTACTATTTTTGAATTTTCCTCCTGTAGAGGGACATGCCCGGGTTAAAGCTGAACAGTTCCCTCCCGTACCATCTTATCGGCTCTTGCAAGTCGACGCTAATCCACGCTAAATCGACGCTAGTCGGCGCTAAATCGACGCCAATCGACGCCAAGCGACGCTAAATCGACGCTGCCTCTCACCGACTCCTAGACGCTAATCGACGCGAATCGACGCTAGAGACAGAATTACGAGGGTACACAAGGCTCCCCCAGGATTCGCGACCGAAAAAACATGTTTTTCGTCTCCGTTTTCAATTTGTTCTCGTGTTCCTCCGCTCTGTCTTCGTCCCTGCTTCCTTGCTGCGGAGCGAATAACCAAAACGAGAACGGCCCACAAGATCGCCAGAACACCGTTTGGCTCGAGCCCTGCCCCGGCCTGGAGGCGGCTCCCGTAGGGGACGGCCAGAGGGAGGCGCCTCCGCTGACGACTGCAGGCGGGACAAGAGGAGCACCCAGTGCACAGTGCTGCACCCTCCCAGGGAAACCACGGTACCGCGACTCCGCAGACCTCTCCCGGGTTGCGTCCTGACCAGAACTTCGAGGCGAATCCAGCGGAGGCAACGAGGGCCTTCCAGGAGGCCCCCGAAGGGGAAATACGAGGCAAGGGCAGCCGTATCGGTACCTCCTCCTACTCGGACGTCCTCCTGCAAGATCAAGAAGCAGAATCTCGTGATCACTCGTCAATCCAGTGGCGCCCTCGAGGATGAGCGTCCCTCCCAGCGGGCAGGGCCCGACGATAGCTTCAAGACGCTGCCCTTTTGACACCCTGTTTGATCTCTCGTGTCCCAGGTCGTGGCCCGAAGATCGAGCAGATGAAGGCGACGCCACGGTATACTCCGTGCCGCACAGGAAGAGCCTTGCGCCCCCTCTGCTCCGAGGCCTCTGGTATATACTCCGAGGGGATATCGCGAATTTCCCCCACTCCACCAAGCCACACCAAGTCATGTCGAAGCACAACAAACCTGTGTACGCAGAAGGCATCTATGCAACGCCACCGTGCCAAGGCAGGGCCATCCTGGGTCCCAGGATGGTGTATACGCCCTCCTGGCCGAGCTCGGGGCGAACTTGAGCGCTGCATCTGACACGAACGCGGCCCTGTCCGGCAAACGCTTGGTGATTCATCCAGTTAACCACGCAATACCGTGTGGAAACAAAGAACTATGTACGCTTGCTTCCGACTGTCAGACATCACACACAAACCATAACGGTGGATGCATAGCATGCGTGTGCAAAGCGGGAGGATCCGCAGGCGGCGGCTGTTCCACTACACAGCACCACATGTAGACGTGAGGAGGGCGAGAAAGTGAACAATGTAGGAGGAAGGGGGAACCATGAGGAATGCATAGCGAATGCTGATGCCATAGCCATCGCCTGACTCTTGATTGCTATCCGAACGCCATCTGCAAAGCGGCGGTGGCCGCGCCTCTGGGAACGATGCTTGTCCGAAAGCGACAGCGGCCACTGTTGAACGCATGAAGTTCGCCGCAAACGGACAACAATGTTCGCAACGAGACCGACAGCGGATCAGGTCCAAAAGGAGCATGAACTGCTGCATGCCGCCGTCCCTATCCCTTTCGTCCCCATCTCGTTGGCATTCGTGAGATGGGTCAAGAGGAAAACGGGTCCTGGACTCCAGAACTGTCTTCGGGACTTGCTCTTCATTCTTGCTGGTCTGTTTCCTGGCGGCCCCGGGTTCACCAGGGTCCAGAGTGCACGGTTTCCCCCGGGGCCGTAGGCGACCCGAGGAGGACGAGGAGGAGGAGGAGAAGGAGGTGGTGGAGGAGGAGGAAGAGGAGGAGGGGGGGAGGAGATGGAGAAGGAGGAGGAGGAGGAGGAGGAGGAGGAGAAGGGAGGAGGAGGAGGAGGAGGAGGAGGAGGAGGAGGAGGAGGAGGAGGAGGAGGAGGAGGAGGAGAGGAGGAGGAGGAGGAGGAGGAGGAGGAGGAGGAGGAGGGAGGAGGAGGAGGAGGAGGAGGAGGGGAGGAGGAGGAGGAGGAGGAGGGAGGAGGAGGAGGAGGGAGGAGGAGGAAGAGGAGGAGGAGGAGGAGGAGGAGGAGGAGGAGGAGGGGTCGCCTAAGCCCTTCGGAGAAACCCTCCAGGGTCCAGAGAGGCCGAAGACAGCGAAGAATCTCCAGACGCGCGTCTCCTCGGGAGCCCTCTCCCTCACAGCATTTGTCGGCCGGGCACGCCCGAAAGGAGGACGACAAAAAAATTCGAGACGAGGCCCGACGGTCAAAGGTTTTCCCGAACCCACAGCTTGGCGGCGAGCGAGGGGGCGAAGTGAGAGGGAGAAGGCCTTCTCAGAGGGCGGCGGGACTTCTCAAAGCCCTCGCGCCTTCCGAGAGGTTTCTTCCGTCTTCGGGGAAGGCTGGAAGGCTTCTCAGAAGGGCGGGGGGTTTCCGAGACTTCCGAGAGAAGGCCCGCCCCTTCTCATTTCCCCCCCGCGCTCGCCGCCGGACAGCGGCCGCTGCCGCGCAGGCGACGCCTGCCCCCGAGCGGACCACGCCCGCGGCGACGCCGACAGCGCCTCCGGTCCGACGTGGGCCATGGACTGCTGCTGGCCCTCGCCTCCTCCTGCCCTGCCCCTCCCCCCTGCGATGGCACCGATCGGCCCGCCTCCGGCTCCGCTCGGCGGGCGGGCATCACCACGCCAATCCGCGCCAATCGACGCCCACCGGGGCCAATCGACGCTGGCCGACGCCAAATCGGCACCAACCGGCGCGAATCGACGCTGATCGGAGCTAGAGAGGCTGATCGACGCCAATCGGCGCGAGTCGACGCTCCATGAGACGTGCTGGAGCGCAGCGGCGGGCGCAGCGGCCGGGCAGCGAGCCCGGGGGCATCGGCGGCAGCGGTGCCAGCCCTCGGGGCCCAGCCCCTCCCGTTGGCAGACCGGCGGCACGAGTCCGGCGTCAGCGTCCCCCCCGTCGTCGGCTGGTCCTGCGCCCGGCGCCCGCCCCCTGCCGCGCGGCCTGGCCCTGCAGGAGCACGGCCGCCCCGCCCCGAGCCTGCCGGGCCTGCCCCCCGGGAGGCCACCCCAACAGCGAGAGAGCCCCCCCCCCCAAAAAAAAAACACGCACACCCAGCCGCGTGCACGAACATGCTCGCGCAGCTCGCGAGGCCGCCCTCGTGTTACGAACGCTCGCGAGATGCGCTCCCTCGAGGCCCGCGTGGACCCATGCGCGCACACGTTCCCCGTCTCCCGAGCCAAGATGGGAACGGAGAGGACGGGGTCGGAGGAACGCACCGCACCGCCGATCCATCGGCGACGCTGGGGCGGCGAGCACTGTGCTCTGGCTCCCGCGCACTGCCGCTCGCGCTGGCGGCGCGTCGCGATCCTCCGACCCCCACGTGCTGCGGCCCGATCAGCCGCAGCAGCAGCAGCAGCAGCAGCAGCAACCTGTCTGGCGTCAGCGACCTGCTGACAGTTTTCGACTGTGTGGAGGACGAGGAGGAGGTGGAGAGGAGACACCAAAGATTCGGCTACACGCAAGAGTGACCCTGGGTGAGCGTGACCTCTGGTGCGCGGCTTTTCGGGGGGGGCCGCGGGGGGACCGAACTCAGGCGCGCACGACGCTGCTATCGCCTCGCAATCGGTGATCGGGGGACCCCATGGTGCCCGCACCAGAGGTCACCCCGGCGAAAGGTCACTCTGACGTGTGGCCGTCTAAGATGCAGCAGCGCCCCCGCCGGGGCGCCCGGCGGGCCCGCCCCGCCACCCGACCTCCTGGAGGTCGACTGCAGGGGGCGCCGCCCTCTGCAGTGCGCATCTTCGGGAGCTCTTGGCTGCGTGCTGGGCGCGGCCTGGACCTCCGCCAGCCTCGGTGCCAAGACTCGGCGGTGGACAAACCTCCCTCTAGCAAATCACCCCTTAGCGAAAACGGCCTGGGACCGAAACCGACGGACCCGCACCCGCAAGAATGACGGCCGCGCACCGACTACGGCCAATTCGCGAATCGACGTGTCAGGGTAGGAACAAACCTCCGAAAGAGTGGCCGCCCCTCCCAGGCCGCGCGCGGGAGGCGCCCGCGCGGGAGGCGTCCAAGCTTAGGTCGGGCATGTCCTCCTACAGGCGGCTTTTGGACGAGGAAACGACCATCCCAACAAATATTCAAAAATAGCATTTTTTGAAAAATCCGATAGATCGTCCCCAGACTATTTTCTTACTGGGCGACCCCGGGGCCCCTGGGGGGACCCGGGGCTGCTCGCGGCCCGCTGAGGGAGGCCGGGCGGCACAGCGCCGCAGTGGGGCTGCGGAGGCCTGCGTGGCCCACGGGGGCCAGGAAGGACCAAAGCATCGAAAGGAGAGGTCAAGAAATCCACCCCGACACGCGAAATCGTTCACTAAACGTGCCCAAAGAAGGAATCGAACAGGGCAGGGCTGGTTAGGAAACGCCCAGGGCCGTTTAGAAAACGCCCTTAGGGCGGGCATGTCCTCCAACAGATGGATTCTGGACGAAGAGTAAGATATAGTCACAAAAATACTCCAAGATGGTCAAAGAATACTCAAAAAATCGTCCCCTGACAGTTTTTTGCCTGTTCTCAAATACAGTTGGGCTGCTGGAATAAGAAACGCTAAAAAAAAGAACGAAGCCCCCCTGTGGCTTCAAAAAAGCCGAGGTGCACGAGAAGGGCTAGAGGAACAACCACGGAAGGACGTAAGGAACATCGAGCCCCTTCCGAATCCAAACTGTTCCTTATTTTAGCGTCTTGCCTGTACTCCTCCTGTAGAGGGACAGGCCCGACTTAAGTGTAGCCCACGGGGACCAAGAAGAACCAAAACATCGAAAACCCTCGATCCCCGTCGTCGTCGCCGTCGTCTATCAGGGAGAACCAGCGTTATAACATATTAACTGTTGGCGCTCCACGCGGATTTCTTGGAACTGCGCTGGACCCCCCTCTCTGGCGCGCGGAGCGCGCCAGGGGCGGCGCCGGAGGCGCCGCTGGGGGGGCCCCAGCGCGGATCCAAGAAATGCGCGCGGAGCGCATCAACAAAGTTTCTGTTTATGGCGTTTTTCCTTCTTCGATCGTCGTCATCGTCCTCGTCGTCGTCGTCGCCGTCGTCGCCGTCGCAGTCGCTGTCGCCAGCGCGGCCCAGCCCCGCTGCCGCCGCGGCGGGCGGGCGCACAGCTGTTTATGGCGTTTTTCCTTCTTCGATCGTCGTCATCGTCCTCGTCGTCGTCGTCGTCGCCGTCGTCGCCGTCGTCGCCGTCGCAGTCGCTGTCGCCAGCGCGGCCCAGCCCCGCTGCCGCCGCGGCGGGCGGGTGCACAGGGGGCACGCCCGCGGGTCCTCGTCTGACCACTCCAGCGGCTGCGCGCCTCGTCCGCCGGGGCGGCCCCGTGTGGACCCCTTGCCCCCGCCGCCCATCGAGCTCGACCGGCGGGGGTTCACCCATGGGCGCTTCGCTTCGCCCGTGCCCCCTCGCAGTATCTCGACACGCCTTGGCGAGGCCCTCCTCGTCCAGGTCGACGGGCAGCGGGGGGCAAAAACGGTTCACAGGTGGCAGCACACGGCAGGTTCGTGCCGTGACGACTTGCGCGCTGGTCTCCGACGCCGCGTGGATCCTGCGGCCTCCAACGATCGCCGCGTTCCTGGCAGCGCCGACGGTTCGATATCCGCCGACTGCGGGCCCCTGGCGGCGCTCAACCTTGAACGCCCGCGCCAGGGCCGCCGCCGCGTCGTCGCGGCGCGAACCCGCCGCAGGGCGCACGAGCGGCTGCCTGCCGGCAGGGCCGCTCGGGGGGCGGCCGCTCAGGCCGGGCGATCCCGAGGCCCCGGCGCCGTGGAGGCGCCGAGGCGGGGGCCCTCGCCCCGATAGCGGTCCCCACGGGGCCCCAGCGACGCGATCCGGCTCGAGGCGACGGAGAGCGGCACCAGGCGTGCTCGCGTCGTGTAAAAGTCCGCCGACCCGCCCTTGGGGTCACGGCGTGTGAAATCCTTCCCCCTCCCCAAATCCCTCCCCCGGGGGGGGAGGGGTTTGGGGAGGGGGAGGGGGGGGAGGGGGGAGGGCCTGGTCCGGCCGTTTTGGAGGAGGGGGGAGGGGGTGGGGGGAGGGGGGGGCAAATCCATCATCCGCACACTTGGAGCCTCAGGAGGCCCCAAAACGGGCCAAAATTGTTCCAAAGGTTCCCGGAGCGGTCCAAGAGAGCTACGAATCGACGAAGGATCGCCCCAAAACGCCGAAGATTGCCTCCACACGGCTCCGTAAGTCCCCAAGACGTTTGAAACAATATTACGAGGCGCCCCAAAGAGGCCCTCCAGAAGCAAAAGTCGTCCCATTTCGTAAATGAAACGTACACTTTCACCACATTCGCCCATTCGGCTTCCACGCGGCGCGAAACGGCCCAAGAAGCCTCCAAGATCGACCCTTGCCAGCCCAAGAGGCTCCCAGAAAGGCTCCAAGACGGCGTCCGGGCGATCCACGAAGGCCCCAGAAACCATAGCAACGGCCGGGGAAAGCCAGAGAACGGTCCCAAGAAAGCTCCAAAACGGGGCAAGAGGGCCCCCAAAGACTGTCCGGACGGCCCACGCGATGGACGGTTCGGTCCAAACCGCCCAAGATTGCCTCCAGACAGCCCCATGGGCGTCCAAGACGTTTGCATACGCGACCACGAGGCGCTCCAAGCAGGCTTCCGAAAGCAAAAACCGTCCCATTCCCTGGAGAAAACTTACATTTTCAGCATATTCGCTTCTTGGGCTTTCACGAGGCACACAACGGCCCAGTAAACCTCCAAGATCGACCTCTGGCACCCGAAGAGGCTCCCAAGAAGGCTCCAAGACGGCGTCCGGGCGATCGACGAAGGCCCCGGAAACCATAGCAACGGCCTGGGGGAACGGCAGGATGGTCCTAAGATGGATCCAAAACGTGTCTAGAGGGGCCTCACAAGCTGTCTGGACAGGCCACGCGGGGGACGATTGCTGCCGCCCCATGGGGTCGGCGGTGTGGCGTAAGCCAATGAATCACAACGGAAGGTTCTTGGCCAGTCTGGAGGAAAGCCAGTCTGGAGGAGAAGCCGAACCTGGGAAGAGGGTCGGGACTTCCTGCGGCCGCGCAATCAAGACGTCGCATTTCTAGTGCGCGGTCGAGGGCTCCGATCGTGGGTTGGACGAGGGCGGAAGGCCCAGGAGGCCTTCCTTGCTCATGGCCACCCTAGGCCCAATCCATCCCCTTCTTGGGCTGTCCAGGCGCCTCCGACAGCAGAACCGCCCTTGGATTACAGCTTGTGCCGCGGAGCGACGAAATGGAACGGGCTTCACGCCGTGGCTTGCGCGGCCCGCCAACGCGGCACTCCGCGCGGACAAGAGGGCGCTGGCAAGACGCTTGGCAAAGGTCGGCCACGGGGCAGGCAACTTCCGAGCTGGCGTCATCGGAAGTGATTCGACAACAAGCCATCACCAGGTGGCGTTCGCCCTCGACCAGCGGGCCAAGGGACCAAGGCCTCCGTCGGGCCCCGTCCAGCGAGAGGGGAGCCCTGCTGAGGTTCGGTATAGCGACTTCCAGAGCCCTGGCACCCTTTCCGGACTCTCTCGCACCCCCCTCCCTCGAGTCGACAGGGGGCTCCGGCAGCTCGAGGTTGTGGTCGAACGCGGCCAGGGTCGCTAACGTCTCCCCCTCCTCCTCCTTCTCCTTTGCCTCCTCCTCCTCCTCCTCCTCCTCCCCCTCCTCCTCCTCTTCCTCCCTCCCTCCCTCCCTCCCTCCCTCCCTTCCTCCCTCCTCCTCCACCTTTTGTTATTATGAAGGTTAGCCAGCGTGGACCCCAAACAGTCTAAGTATAGCAAAAGATTATGCGGAATATATGTTGTGCACCTTGTGTTGTGCAATATGTTGTGCAATATATATATATATATATATATATATGTGTGTGTGGTGCAATGTATGTGGTGCAATTGATTTTTACCCATGATTTGACACATCCCATGCTCTTGCAAACATCCCACCCACCCACCCGCAACTTGGTTTGCACAATCTCTTAAGACCGTGACGGTGGGTACCAAATGGCACTTGGCAACGACAGCGACGCCGACGACGACAGCGACAACGACGACGACGACGACGACGACGACGACGACGCCGCCGCCGACAACGACTACGACGACACCGACGACGTCTCCAACGACTTCGACGACGCCGACAACGACGACGACGACGACGACGACGACGACGACGACGACGACACCGACGACGACGACGACGACGACGACGCCGACGCAAACGACGACGACGACGATGACAACGACGACGACGATGACGACGCCGACGACGACGACAACGACGACACCGACGACGACGACGACGACGACGACGTCAACGACGCCAAAAACGACGACGACGACGACGACGACGACGACGACGACGGCGGCGACAACGACGACGCCGACGTCGACGACGACAAAGACGACGACGACGCCGACGCCGAAGACGACGCCGAAGACGGCGACAACGTCGCCAACGAAGACGGCGACGAGAGAGAAGGGAGGCCGACGACGGCGGCGACGACGACGACAACGACGACAACGACGAGGGAGGAGGGAGGACGGCGACGAAGCGAACAACGAAGAAGGAGGAAGGACGGCGACGCCGACGACGACAACGACGAGGGAGGAGGGAAGACGACGACGACGACGACAACGACGATGACGACGACGACGACGACGGCGACGAAATAGGAGGGACGACGACGACGAGACTCCGACGACGGACGACGACGACGACGAGGGAGGAGGAGGAAGGACGACCACGGCGACAACGACGACGGAAACGACCACGACGCCAAAGAGGACGACGACGAAAAAGCGAGGAAAGACAGAGGACGACGTAGACGACGACGACGACGCAGGAGGAGGGAGGACGGCGACGACGACGACGACGACGCAAGAGCACGCGCGCGCGCGCTTATGTTGAAAATCCGTGTTCCGAAACCTTGTGTATTTGTAGGTTTTTTTGACACACGATGTTGAAATCCTTCCGAAGCGCAAGAGCTCGCGCGTAACCCTGTTCAGCAAATTAGTGTTGCGAAACCAAGTGTTTGTGTATGCTTTTTGGAGGCTCAATTGCGAAATCCTTCCGACACCGAAGGTTTTCGGCGGATTTCGGTATGCGCGCGCGACGGCGCGCGCGTGTGCACTTCGTCAAATTGTTTGCAAGGGATTCGCGAAAAAGACTTATGCTAGAACAACAGATGTCCCCGCGTATCGTTTTTTACAAGGGAACCTCAGGGGGGGAATTCATATTTGGGATGGACATGTGGTGGGAATCATGAATGATTTACATACCCGAAAGGGATACGGATAACGCCGGGGGGTAGACTCTAATCTCTTATTAGAAAGGAAAATACATGTGATGAATGTAGGCGATGTGATCTGTATATATATATATATGAATATAGATATATGTACATATACATGTGTGTACCACCATGTGTGTGGTGCCGTCTATGTTGTGCGAGATCTGTTGAGCAGTATATGTGGTGCAGCCTGTGCATTGCAATATATCAGAGCGAGGGGGCCGAACGGTCATTCATTGTCCCTGGGTGCGTGGCTGAAATGGGTATCCGTGGTGGGGATTATGCTCGTTGCGTTGTTGTTATTATTGTTGTTGCTGCTGCTGTTGTTGTTAAGGGTGGTGCTTTTGTTGGTGTTGTGGTTGGTGGTGGTGGTGGTGCTGTTGTTGTTGATGATACTGTTGTTGGTGGTGGTGTTGTTGGTGGTGTTGGTGTTGGTGTTGTTGTTATTGGTGTTGTTGGTGTTGTTGTTGTTGTTTGTTGTCGTCGTCCCCTCTGCGACCCGCCCGCGACCCAACCGCGACCCACCCCGCGACCCAGCCCGCGACCCAGCCCGCGACCCACCCCGCGACCCCGCGACACACCCGCGACCCACACGTGACCCACCCCGCGACCCACCCGCGACCCACCCGCGACCCACCCCGCGACCCACCCCGCGACCCACCCGCGACCCACCCCGCGACCCACCCGCGACCCAGCCGCGACCCACCCCGCGATCCACCCACATTGCTTTAACGAAAAATCTGCGCCTGTGGCGGTTTCACTGCATAATTTGTACAAGTTCGGTGCCTGCGGCGGGCTTCCTCAGAGCCTCGCAGACTGACGACGTCCTCGCCGTCCCCTCACTCTTATCGCAAGTGCGGGGGTGCTACGTGTGTATATATATATATGTGTGTGTACATGTACATATACACATGTGTATGCATGTTTGTTTGTGTGTATGCATGTAGGTGTATGTGTATGTGTGTATGTGTGTATGTGTGTATGTGTGTATGTGTGTATGTGTGTACGTGTGTATGTGTGTATGTTTATGTGTG